TCTTTTTCTTTTTCATTCTACATTAGAAATGATCATGATTCTTAAGGATTTCTATTTTTTTCATGGTAAGAAAAAAAAAATTCCATGATTCAATGGCATTAGTCTATCGCTTATAGATTATAATTAGAAAGCTTCTCTCTTTTTAGCTTTTAGTTTTGGCTTTGCCATCATTATTCTTATTAGTTTTCTTTTTGAAAACACATTTGCTGAATATGATTGTTCAGCAAAAGAAGATGGCTGGTATTATGATCCCGAATTTTGTCATATCTATTGGCGATGTATACATGGGACATCAGAAGAATTTGAATGTGCTAGTGGCACAGCTTGGGATCATCATGAAAATCGTTGTAATTGGCTTGATAGTGTTGATTGTTCACGTGCTGAAAAAACAACAGCTAAAGCCATGTCTGACTATGATGATGAACAAGACATAGCAGAAGAAAATGACAGTAATAATAATAATAATGAAGAAGATGATGAACAACCTATTGTTGTTGTTAAAAAAACAAAAAAGAAAAAGAAGAAACATCGAAAAATAGAATCAAATAAAAGAAAACTTGATGGTGATAAAGATGAAGAAATTGATGGCAAAGATCGTGAGATTTATTTTCATCATCTTATGGAAAATGTAGTGCATGAATTCTTGTTCTTATTTAAACTTCTTTATTTATCTTTCTATGTATTGAACTTCTCTTCCAGTTTTTCTTCTAATTATTTCTCAAACAAGTTCGTCTACTGATTTTCTTTGTGCTGGACGTGATGGATTTTTTGCGTAAGATACTTTCTTTATCTTTTTCAACTGAGAATAAAAACAAACCGCATGATTTATTTTTTTCATCAGTGATCCTGAATATTGCACGAGATATTATCGATGTTCGCATGGAATTGATGAAGTTTTTGAATGTCCAAGAGATACTGCATGGGATGAAAGAACGAAATCATGTGCATGGGTTGATGAAGTTAATTGTGATCAAAGAAAATTAGGATATTCAACAAGTACTCCTAGTGAAGGCATGCCAATTTTTTTTTTTTTGAAAAATAGATTTGTTTATTACAACAAAAAGAAATTCTTATTCTCTTTATATTTTAATAGATACAACAACATCACGTAAAAAATCTGATACTGAATCTGCTTTGTCTGAATCTAATGCAGCATCAGCTATATCATCAACAAATGGAAAAGATAATAGTGGTAGTTCACCAGCTATTGAATGTCAACCAACTGGAATTTATTCAATACCTGATCCATCGGAATGTAATGCTTATTATCTATGTGATAAAGGTACACGAACAAAATTAAATTGTCCTGAAAGAAAATTATTTGATATTGAAAAACGTGAATGTAATGAATATGAACGAGTTAGTTGTGGAACACGATCAGTTAGTCTAGTTGATAAAAATCAATGTAAGTTTATTGAATAGTTTCATTAATTACTTTGTATAAAAATATAAAATAGGTGTCAATAAACGTGATGGTATTCATCCAGATACAGAACGTGATTGTCATTTTTATTATCAATGTGTATCACAAAATAAAATGCGTGAGGCCAAATGTCCAGGTGATCAAAAATTTAGTAGTTATACAGGAAGATGTGGTCCAGCAGGTAATGCTCCAATACCATGTGGTACATTTGTTCCTGGAAACACTGCAATGAAAAGTATGCATTATTTAATATATTTGTTTATTAAAATTGATTTATTTGTTTTTGTTTTGTTTTGTATAGATCATCAAAATATTGGAAGTTTCATTGAAATCTTTTTGACGATTATTTTCTTCGTTATTATTTATATTCAATGAATTGAATAACAAAAGTTTTCTTTTTTCTATTCTAAACACGTTTTTTTTTTCTACTATCATTTTATGTGTCTACTGTTGCGGTAGTTTGTGTTCAATAAAAAGAATATCTCTTCTACTATGTATGAAATCATATCATTTTAAATTCAAAAGAAAATCATTCCATAGAAATGAATAACATAAAATTATTTGATTTTTGACCTATTCAAATCATTAGAAACTTGAATAAAAATTCAGCTGTCTATCTTAGTGACTATTTACAAAAAGAAAACGTGTGTGGTTATATCATTGTAATTAACCCTGCACACCCTCGTTCGTTTGTTACGTTCTCGGCTAGTAGAGACAACGTAACGATGAGCGAAAAAGAAAAAGATCTAAAACCTCAAACAAACATAGAATAACATTGTTGCGATTATATTCGCATAGTTTATTGTTTGTACGTATGTACGAGTCCAATTAAACAATACATGAATATACATACCTTAATAAAGAAAAGGTTATATGAGCAACAAAGCAAATGACACGTTAGAATTTAAAAGCATATATTATACTCGTCAATGAATATATAGTAAGAAATGGATGAGCAATGGATAGAAAATTATCTTGGTGGTTTATTATTTATGTAACAGGTAGAGTTGATTTTATTTTTTAGTTTTACAGAATAAAGTTGTTGTCTGTTAGTGATTTTAAATTTTTCACCTAATTCAACTGAATCACATCTTCTATGGAATATAATAAAACAAAAATATGAATCAACAAAGTCAATTGATATTATCTCTCAATATCAATCGACTTTTCCAACATTTTTAAAAAACGATACGACAACATTACATTCGAATATCACTTTTCAATTGCTTATAACAAAATCTAATTCTTATCTTTATAATCCTGATGAAGATGATGATAATGATAGTTCATTAAATCGAATCAAACGAGATAAAACTCCTTTTGTCTGTAAAGGTAAATTTATTTTATTTTGTACAATTTGAATTTATTTTATTATATACTTATAGCGGATGGTTATTATCCTGATCGAGAAAATTGTCGAATATATCATATATGTACATCAGGTGTTGATACAGCAGCTGTTTGTGGTGAAGGTACATCATGGGATCCAGTAAAGAAAAATTGTAATTGGGAAAATACTGTTCAATGTAAAAAAGGTCTTCGTAAATGGGACCAAATAACAGATATTCGAGGAGGTACAAAAAGAAAAATGAATCATTTTGTGAATTATTATTCGAAAATATTTTCTTTTCTTTTTTTTTTCGGTGGAATTTAGTAACTCTATTTGCAACCGATGCAGCTTTAGCTTGGCGAGCGAAAAAAAAATCAACAACAACTAATCAACCAATTAAAGTTGATTCAAATTTTACATGTGAATATGATGCTGAAGGATTTTTTCCTGGTAGCTTTTATTTTTAATAGTTCAATTCAAATTTTAATGAATTTATTTTAGATACAAAATATTGTCATATTTATCATTATTGTGGTATTGGTGCACATACAGTACTAAAATGTGCTGATAATCTTTGGTTTTCAACAAAATCAGAAGGATGCGAATGGCCTGAAAAATCAGATTGTATTATATAAATTTTCTTTTTCATTGAACTAGATCGTTCTATTGTTTTTTATTTTATTTATATAGGTAAAGCCGGTAATTTATATACATCATCAACAGCAGCAACAAACATGATTGATGGTGATGGAAACCCCGTTACGACTCCTCGTCATTCTCGACCAAATAATATCTATTTACCTATTGAATGTCCAAAAGGTGCTCAAGAATATTTTTCTGATCCATATGATTGTTCAGCATTTCATTATTGCAATGGTATGTTGAATAAAAAAAAAAAAAATTATTTTATTACTTTATAATTCAATAGGTGGTATTGATAAACCTTCATTTTGTGATGCTGGTCTTTTCTGGGATAAAAGTGAGTGTAGAAATTCTATGCTTTGGTTATGTTTAATTGTTCTTTAGAACTTGGTTGTCAATGGCCAAAAGATGTTCCTCATTGTAAGAGATTGAATTTGATGTTTACATGTAGCTCTGATTTTTTTCAAAGGTCAACATAAATGTCCAGCTAATGGACAACGATTACGTTTTGTAGCTACTCATAGTTGTTGTCATTATTATGAATGTATTAATGGTCATTTAAAAGAACAAGTTTGTCCACTACATAAACTTTATTCAGTTGAAACGAAAAGTTGTGAAAATTTTCAAGTTGTTACTTGTGGTTCAAGAAAAAAATGTATCGATCCTTGTAAGATTTTTCTTCTCATTTTTCACTACAGATATGCAGGCTCAACAACTTTATTCGTATTATAACTGAGAAAAATTTTTCTAACCGATACTCTTACTAGAGTCAGTTAAGTTGATCTCAAAACACAGATCCAAAAATTTTGAACTCAACGAGTTCTAGTCGTTCGAGAAATGTGTAGAATATATCAGTCACCGAATACAAAAATCAGAAGAATGTATCTCTTATGATTGGGTCACCTATCCAATTTCGATTAGAAAATTTAATTGAGATTATCAAAGTATAGCTGAACCGGGACCGAAAAATTTCAATCTTATGAAACTGGGTTCGGATTCAGGTGCCAAGAACATTTCATAAACCGAATTTCGAACCCGACGGAGTCTAACCCTATCATGAAATATAAAGTAATGTAACCGTGTACATGTCAATATTTCGCTTCGTGAAACCATTTTTTATTATTTTTTTTGTATCTATTCAGGTGATTATGATAATTCACCATTATGTGAATTTAAACCTGTTTGTCGAGATAAACCAAATGGTAATTATGTTGATCAATATCGACCAAATTGTCAATTTCATTATACATGTCTTGAAAGTCGAACATTTAATTATACAGCATGTGAACATGGTTATCGATTTTCTGTTCAACATCAAAAATGTTTACCTGCTAAACAAGTTAAATGTTTAAGCAATAATTTAAATGATCCATTATTATTTAAAATTATTTTTTTCTGCATTTTCTTTTTTAAATTCTATATTTGAAAAGCATAATTATATATATATTTATTTTTTTTTTCCTTTCATTCACCGAATATAAACGGGTATGATTTATACAAGAGTGTTTGACTAGGGTGGCTTTTTTTTTTAGAAGAAAAATAATTTTACACAAATACATTTATATATATATAAACAATGCTAGAAAGAATATTTGTTTTTCTTTTTTAAGATAATGTACCATTTAGTGTAGCCGGTCGATGTCGATTGGTTCCATGATGAAGATGTAACGAAGTTGATGATGCTGTTCGTGAAAAATTTGATGCGGAATTTAATAATGCTGCTGATGATGGTGGTAAAGGAAAAACTGGATTCGATGTTTCACCAATAAAATCATTTAAACTTGCTGAACTTAGATCTTTTGGACCATGTACACCTGATGATTGTGGAGAAGGCCATGCTTGTGTATAATAATTTCTAGGATCAGCCATAAGTGCTAAAGACGGAGCTACAGGCCATGGATTCATTGGCCAATAATTAGCTTGATTTTGAAATGAATGAAATAAATTTTGAAACATTTGTTGTTGCTGTTGTGATGTTGGCGGTGGTGGTGGAGGTGGTAAAAATTGATTTGTATTCATATTTGACTGAGATTTTTTCAATGATTTTGTTTCATCATTACTTGATTTATTTGAATGACGAGATATTTTAGATCGTGTTGTTGAAGAAGATATTTCTCTTGAACGTTTTTTTGTTCCATCAGATGATTCAATATTACTTGTTTCTAATTTTAATGGAATATCATTTCTAAAAATGATTAAAAATAAAATAAAAGATATTAATAAAGAACAGCAATCTATAACATACAATGTTATATTTGATTTTGATAAATCAATTAATTGATCATCATCAGATTTATGTATAACTCGATTATGATTTGTTTTTGATGTATGAAGTGGTGAAACAGTTGCAATTGGTTTTGTTAAACGAGTTGTTATAGGATTTGTTAAAGGTAATAATGATGATGAATTGTTTGTTGGTGTTAATGGTTCATCAGCAGCTAGAAGTTTATTAGCTTCTTGAATAACTTCTGAATATGAAAGTTGTTTTTGTTCGATTATTTCATTTGGATTTTCATTTTCTGATGGAGATGAATTTAATGGAATAATTAAAGTATTTGTTGGTAATAATGAACAAAGAGATTTTTCATCTTTAATTTTCTTTTTTTTTTCATTTTTACATTTTTTTATTAAAAATTGTTCATTTAAATTTGATCTAGAAAAAAACAAAAACAAAAAATAAAAATTGAACAAAATAAAATTTTACTTTTTTAATTTTTTTTTTGTTTTTGATAAATCATTTATAGAATTCATTGAATAATTAATTGGTGTTGTTATAGCAAATGTTTTACAATCAATTAATGTACATTCTTTTGGTTTAATTAATTCTGTTGTTTCATTACCATGCAATTGTTCAGTTATAGAATTATTTAAACTTATTGTTCGTGCTTTAGCTGGTGTAAAAGGTGTTGTATGAACAAATGAATTATAAATATTAGTTGAACGAACAAACGGAGCAGGTTTTGATATAACCTAAATAATTGATTATAAAAATTTTAATAAAAATTTTTGTTGAGTTTAACTTACTGTTGTTGTATTATTTTCAGATGCAGCTGTTAAATTAAAAATACTAGTTGTAGTTGATTGTTCAGTTTTAATAGGACTTTTTATTAATGAATCATTTTGTTCACGTTCAATAATAATAACTCTATAGAATAAATGTAATTGTTTATATTTTTCTTGTTTATTTTGTTTCCATGAATAAATATGATTTAATATTAAATTATCTAATAAAATTTTTTGTTCATATAATATATCTATTTGATAACGTGTTCGTTTTGATAAAGGTAAAACTTTTTTTAAATATTGTTTTAATATATTTATTGGCATATTTGATGAACATTCAATAAAAAATAATGATGTTTTAGGTTGAAAATCTTTTAAATCATTTTCATTATATTCTAATGTTATATAAATATTTTCTTTATTATTATATTTATTTTTTTGTTGAAATAAACAACGTTCACTTAATTCACCTAATTCTTCTTCACGACAACCCATTTGTGATGGATGTGTTTTACAATATTGTTCAAGTAATTTTATTCTACTATCTGGATTTGAATCATAATATATACGTCTTTGACACATTTCACGTTTAAATAATGATGGTACTAATTTATAAACAATTTGTTGTAACCAACAATCTTTTGTTATACCAAGTAATGGATTAGCTGGATGTGGAACTGTTGAACATACAGGACATGCTGTATTATCATCATTATCATTAAAATATGAAAATATACATGAACGACAAAATGAATGTAAACATTCATTGATTGTCCAAGCGTCAATTAAATAACCTGAACAAAGACGACATAATAAATGTTCATTTATAAGATCGAGATTTAGTTTTTTTGATGGTATCATTATCTAGAAAATATTCTAAATAAAAAATTTTACGTATATATGAACTATATATTTGTCTGACGACTATTGCTTTCAACGGTCAGTCAGTCATCAACTATAGTGAAGAAAAAGAGAAGAAAAAAAAGACGCGAGCGAGAGGAAAAAAGAGAAGGACGATGAACTTGCTGTACAGACGCGTTCGTTCACATACGTATTCAACTCTCTTTTTTTTTCTTCTTTGCCTTGTTGTCCATTTATTCAATGAGATGAGAAGAGAAGAGAATGTATATCATACGACCGGAATAAAAGAAGAAAAATAAATCTTCTCGCTTTTTCTTTTTTCTTTTTTTCGAATATATACGCAGAGGTCTTTTCTTTTCTTTCTTTGAAAAAAAAAAAAACATCAACGAATGAAAATAATGCATTTACGTGGTTGAGCTAATATTGATTGGTTATTGGATAATAGGACGCGCGCGATTGTTCTATGCGGCTTATTACAAAGAGCATTGAAGACAAATAGTGAATGGTAGAAAGAACTGTCAAATGATGAAGAGAATTTAACTATTGTGTGATAAATATGGATGAATTTTTGTTACTGATGTCATCAAGGATAGGCTAGGCGGTGTGCCACTTTACCACCAAAAGAAAGAGGAATGTAATAATTACCACGATTGACACTATATTGCATGGATTTCCTCCCGAAACTGTTGTGCATTGTCCTACCATTCAGAAACGGTAGAACAGTTTCAGTTTAGGACAGACTTAACTTTTCAGACAAACAAGCTCGGAGAGACAGTTGAAAAATGGTTTTCTTTAGTTGTTGATGATGGTAAGTGCTATAGGTGTTTTTGCTGGATTATAATTCTGTATAAGTAGAATAACAATCTAATGTTTTGTTGTTTCGAACGAAATCAAGAATAAATGAAGCTACAGAGAAATACTGGTTTAAAAAACAATAAAAAATAACAGTCTAAGAAGAAATAAAATGAGAGCAGATGCTGTTGAAATCAAGAAAATCGATTTTTTTCTTTCAGTGGTGACTGTGTTGTGACGAGAATTGGCAAATAAAACGATAACAAGGTGTTGAATTCAGAAAACATAATTTTGACAACTGGTTATGCATATTCAAAGATAAAATGTGGGCTGATTTTGTAATAACGCGTCATCTGTCAGAAGACAATGAAAATTAATCAGTAATAGAAAATTTTTACATTTAATAGAGCCTATCTAGGCCTCATGGCTTCACTCTCTACGCTACCATCCTTAATCTCTTGGTTACATGACTGATTATTGTTTGCGATTTAAATTCTCCCAAGGAAGTCTCTTTAACATTATATTGACATTCTTTGTTGAACAAAAAGTGCAAAGATGACAGTACTGTTGCTTAAGGCAATTCTTTTCTCATATGTTATTCACAATTGTATCAATTGGCTAACAATCAATATTGAATGTCAACATTGTCTTGAATTTGTTTATTTTTCGATTGAGATATATGTTGTCTTTGTATGATATAGATGTAGTTTGCAGGTGTAATCCATTTAAAGAGATCTGCTTTGTTTTCGTATGGTGTTTACGTATGATATGAGTGATAATCTCGAACTAATATGCGAGATACATCAAAACTTATGTCTTTATGAATACAATCATTATCAAGTTTGTTGGCGATTATCACTTTTTATAATATGAACTGCATTGTCCTCTTCTCAAAAATCATAATAGATCTATCATATCACTTGAACTTTGGTTATTTCTGAAAATAGTCACTAAAAATCATCATCATCATCCTTTCCTGATTCTTAATGATGAATTCATTTTAAAATGAACTTTGATTTTATGTAAAAATCTATTATTTGTACTTTTTATGTAGGTACAGTTTTATCTGCATAAAAAAATTTTTTTTTCCTGATTTTGTGTTAATGAATAGATATTTATTTCTGTTTTTCACTTCATTCTCATTTTGTATGCATTGATAATAAACGAACAACATAATCTATAAACAAATATTTTTCAGAGATAATCAAATCTTTCACATATTCGAGACATACTTTTGGGATCTGCAATGACTCGGAGATATGGGTGTGAACCAGGGCTGGAACCGACTGAAATATGATAAACTGGTCCGGTCCGGCCGGTTGGAATCACATGTCCAACCAGTGAAATTCCGGCGAAAACTAGTTAAAAAAAATGTCGCATCTTTTCCCAAAAACGATTTTTAGCAAAAATGAGTCCAAATATGAAATAATATACCAGTGCATGTACCGAGGCTGGGGATTCCGGTTGCGGAAAATAGTTGGAGTCTGCTGGAACCGGCAGGAAAGATGTAGAAAAACCATTGTATCCGACAGAAAAACACCGCACATCGCTGAAACATCGAAGCAGTATGGTGGTCGGAAAATTTTCGCATAGTTTCCTATGATTTGCGGCCGTTTTCTGTCGGAAAGAGCCAGGAGTTGACCGAAATTTACCGGAAAAAGTCCAGAAATTTTCCTCCCAAAATACTGGTTCCATTTTCCACTGATTTTCGGCATTTTTCTGCCGGAACCGGTTCGCACTTTTTGATCTGGTTAGAAGACACTCATCATAATGAATCTTTTTAAAGAGTACTTCAGAGAAATGATTAAAATAACATGTTTTGAGCAATTTTTTTACGTATTCGAACAGACAGACATGTGACATCTTAGTTTTTATGGCCCAAAACAGAGTTAACAAAGAAGATTTTTCAAAACTTTCAACCGATGAAATTTCGGTTTCTACCCGCTCGGTTGACTTTCTTAACCGATCCGGTTCCAACCCTGGTGTGAACCTTCTCCTCACTCACACTCTCAAAGTAGATGCTTTATATAAAATACAATACTATATTTCTTATGAGTTACCAGTAAAAACTGACCATGATTATCAGTTTTGAAAAAAATCCATAAAACAACACATGAATTAAAAACAAAATTAATTTGTTATTCTTCTATCGTAGTAACGTTGCACAATGGACAATGACGGGAAGATTCAATGAAAAAATACAAGTGATATTTTTTACGATTTGAATAATATCCAATATACTTTGACCATCGTTAACCTTTTGATTCAAAAAAAAAATTATTGTAGTTCTTTAAGGATTTTAGAAAATCGTAGGTTCAAAAAAAGGTCAATTTTTTGTCGTCTTAGAGGAAAGTATCTTTTTCCACAGAAAGTAGAAAGACCTACGGAATAAATCCTAAAGCTCTTGCGCTATCGTTCTATATGCAAAACTTTGTTTTGGAAAATGTATGCATGCTTTCTTAACTAAGAGCTTTCTAACACGATGTGTTTAATGTAATTGGTGGCCACACTTTAGTACAATTCCAAGTTCGTTGAAACCCTCACAGAATCTTTTAATCTGTCTGACACATCAACTTAGTTATCATACAGATGAATTTATGCTTCTGGATCGAGATACAGGTTTTTCGCATTATTTGATCTGAAAAGTACTTGGAGAGAAACATAAGAATGTACTTGAAATCAACTCGAAATACTGTATCGAGCGATATAATATTTGTTAATTTTTAAAATAGAAAATTTTCCGACAAAAGTTCAGAGTAAGGATCTCCTCATGCACTTTCTATTGAAAGCCTTCTTTTACGAATTTCACTTTTTTCTTATCAAATCTTTTTCTTGAGTATTTTTAATCAATGTTTATATGAAAAAAGAAACGCGTTTTTGATAGAAAATAAGCGACATTCACATGCTCTATAGAAATCAAGCCATGTGCGTTTTTGAATAATAAAACAAATATGAAGGTAATATAATAGATAGCATCAACAGTCTGGATATGTATCGTACAGGAGTAATTTGACCTACGTACATAAGTGCCTTGATTGACATGCCATATATCTATGCTTTACTTTCCTCCTAAGTAATAATAGGAAGCCTATATCAAAGAAAATCTTCTTGTATATTTCTCGTAAAATAAATTTATTCTGTAATGATGGAACAGCGGACAAAATTTCTTCTCAATATATTTTATTCTAGAGCTATGTTATTTTTATATCGATATATATATGTGCAGTCATTCAAATGAGAGACGTGGATTTTCTAAATAATCGTCAATGTTAGATGAATCTTGAGTTTTCCAGAAAACTATGCCTAGCATTTTCAGACTTATTAAGACCCTCCTCAGAAACCAACTTTGTTATTTTTCGTCCGATTTCAACCAAATATTTCAGAGAATGTGAGTCTAGGCTAGGATAGGCTATGGGTCAAATATCTCCCCCAAACCCCAGTATACTAATGAGTTACAGTCAATTTAGTGGTAAAAAGTACTCTGTACGCGGGCAGGGTTTTCGTCATGAGGACTAGGAGCTAACAGGCCGGGGTGGTGTCTAGGTTGTAGAGTGTCTCTAGAGCTAGGTTGTGACAGAGCCAGATTTTTTAATTTTTCTTCCTTTGTTTTTTAAAAATCTTTTTTTAAAAATTCTTGAATTCATGACCAAAAAACTCACAGATCAAAATGAAAGATCTACGGTTTTTATTTCAGTAAAAGAGAAATTCAAAAATCCGGCTCTGTCACGACCTAGCCCCACCTGTCTACTATACAATAAAAAAAAACCTATCCCCTCTGTATCGAGTCATTATGAAGAAAAGCCTGCCCGCCTAAACGGTACAGTGCGGGCCGTAAAAAGCATGTACTTTTTTGTTTTTACGCATAAATGAGTAAAAAGGATAGTCTGAAGAGTTTCTTTCATATCAGAGCTTGTAGAGAATTTTTTGCTGATCATTTTGGTAAAAAACGTTTTTAATTTTCATCGAATAATAACGATTTTATAGCCAAAATACTAAACACTGTAAAAAATAGTAAAGAAAAAAGTTTAGCAAACTTTTAGTATTTGCCTATTTCTACGTTATTTCACCACGTCTAAAAGATGTTCTATATACCATTCGATGCAGAATTTCACGGGCTACATTTTGGTAACAAGCACTTAAATTTATTATAGTTAATTATTAATTAACTATTGGTTAATTATTAGTTAATTATCAGTTAATGGTAATTA